TGAATGAAGCAGGCCAAATCAATTCGTACCCACCAAATTTCTAATCTGGCATATATAGTCAGCCTGCTTTTGCTACCTGTTGTAGGCAAAGCTCAGAGAAGTTACTTCTTTTGGACTACAGTTTCCAGAATTCCCCAGACAGTATGGCCAGGATTCATAAATGATATAATTAAAAGAAAATATTTTCCCCCAAACTCTGGTCCCAGGTATCAGGGAAGCACTACAAAAGCAGTAAATCTTAAAATCTTATTTGAAAGGATGCTGAGTTCATCCTCTGTTCTGCTTCCCTCTGAAAGTGTTGGGAATCTTCGGGGGGGGGGAGAAATGAATTGGATGTTTGTCTGCAGAGCCATAGGTTGGGAATTTGATTCTCCACCAGTCTCCTGGGAAAACAGCCCACCCACGTAGTCCTGGGTAAGCAGTACAGTCTGAGTGCCCCTCAGAAGATGGGAATGATAAGCCACTTATAAATACGGATGATGTATCTAGAAAACCCTGGGAAGGATCATGGTAAGTTTCTGTGGTCACGTGGCCAGCGCGACTAGACACGGAACACTGTTACCTTCCCACTGAGGTGGTATCTATTTATCTACTTGCATATTTACATGCTTTCAAACTGCTAGGTTGGCAGGAGCTGGGACAAGCGATGGGAACTCAATCCATTGTGTGGATTCGATCTTACGACGGCTGGTCTTCTGACCTTGCAGCACAGAGGCTTCTGTGGGTTAACCCACAGCGCCACCACGTCCCTATATTGCTGATAGAGTACAACTCTAATATGCGTCAGATGAGGCTTGGCCATTCAGCTGATCAGCATAAAGTATTCTCATGCCAATGGCTAAATACTTACAGTTGGAATAGAGAAGGTTGTTCTGAGTTAAAAAATAAACAAAAAATGCTGCACAAGTTAACTGTTTAGAATTTAATTTGTTCCTGTGAGAATTGTCATTAATTATTATTCATAGCTACCAATATTATACAAATGCATGCCAGTTTAAGAGATCAAGTTGGCTTTTATGTGGAACAGAAACTACAGCTAAAACAGTTACAAATGTTGTTTGAAATTAAATGAATACCATTGCGTGTAGCAAACAAAAAGGGCAAAAGTTATTTCTGAATTTGGCTATGGCAGCAGTGCAGAATAAACTGTGCGAGAGACTTAAAGAAGGGCTGAGATAATGTGATTCCCCCCACTCTTACTATGTAATGGCAGGTAGATTGTCATTTATGCATAAATATTATCAAACAATGTGCAGTCAGTTGCCTGGTATGCTAATCCTCTATATTCTAATCCTGCAAGTAATGCAAAGAGAATACACAGGGTTAATAATAGTTAAGAGTGGCTCACAAGAAGCATTTCAGGAAAACAAACAGAAATTAATTCTGAAGCTGGTACTGATCGAGATATAATGGAGATGCATGTTGGTACTCCCTCCTTTTAGCTTAGAATGAGATTTGGTGTGTACCCAGGAGCTCTTTCCAGTTTGAAGTCAAAAGGCATATTGGTGACAGCTGGGGCCATTGAGAAAGATGAAGCAGCAGCAAATTTAATTTATGCCCTTTAGCTGTCAGTTGTAAGAAAATCTTGTTACGTTGCCTCTTGGGAACTGGCCAACCTTGATCTAAGATCAAGGCATTCTGGGTTGACTGAAGTGTAGAAGTGCAACAGAAGGGACAGCCCAGTGATGGAGTTATTGCAGAAATATAAACAAGAGGTAACCAGGTCATAAGTTTCTGTATATTGACAGCTAGTACATTTCTGTCCCTTAACACCTCTGACTTTTTGTCCAACAAAAAATGTAAGACCAGTAAAGCAGCACCAAGAGTAACTGACAAATCATCATTCTTCTCCCCCTACCGTCATTAATAAAGACATTGATTCTGAAGAGCTGTCAGGATGATTACATTGAACAAGTGTTGGTACTCACTGTCATATTTATACTGACAAATTTTGCTGAGATTCTTAACAGGCTTGTATTTGTCAAATGTGGAGTATTGGGGTGTCAGGTCAGAGAGTGTGATGCCTGAATTTCTCCCTAAGACTCTAAGGGAAAAAAATCAGAAGCCGTCACAGCTGGCATTTATCCCAGAATGGGCTACTGTATATGCCGGCGTACAAGATGACTTTTTGGCCCCGAAAAACATGCCTCCAGGTGGGGGTTGTCTTGCACACCGGGTGCACTTCAACCCCAACAGCCCAGAGCGGGTGTATCTGCGCGCCCCTGATAGCGTGAAGCTGAATCGTGTCTCTGAGTGCCCCTCCAACAGTTGACTCCGAAAGCCAGGGCACCACGTCCCTCTGTTCGGCAGCTCCAGTCTAGGAGGGAGCTCCCCCAAGTCAAAGCCCAGGCAGAGCTCCACCAATATTCCCAACTCCCAAAAATGCCGCTCCCGGTTCTCTGACCCGACAGTTCTCCCGCTGTTCGAGCTGCTCAAGTTGGTCTGCCTGCAGGCACAATCCATGGAGCCAGTTTTCAAAAGTATCTCTCCACCCCCTCGTCTCGGCTGGTCTCGGTTTGTCTCGCTGGTCCTCCAGAGGGAAAGAGAGTCACCCTGGCAGCAGAGTCCTCCAGGCAACAAATGGAGGCAGCACTTCAAAGTGTTTCAGACGCTTTGAAACAGACACCTCACGACCCCAGACATTTGGTGTGTGGAAGGTTTGCGGAAGAGGAAGTAGTCTTGTATGGCGAGTATATAGGGCTCTCTATATTTTGAGTGGAAATGTTGGGTGTCACCTTATACACCCACTCGCCTTGTATGCCGGCAAATATGGTAATTCCAGAATAAAACCAGGTAAACATTCCCAATCATATAAATTAATCTGGGTATCAAGGTGTCTTTTCATTGTTGGAATAATTCCAGACATCATCAGCTTGTCTCTTTCTACAAACTTTATTCATCCAAATTGCTTCTGTGTTCCATAACCACAAAAATACCTCCCAAATATTGAAAACATCCCAAAGTTTTACAGCTATAGGAAAAATGTAGGTACAAATGCAAACTTCATCTTTGCAAATTATGAAAAGCTTCAGAGCTGATTGCCATCAAAAATTCTTTTACAGCAATGAAGAAGCTGCAAACAAAAGTACATTCAAAAACAAAGCTTAAGTTGTAGGCTGAACTGAAATCGTGTTATATTCATGTTTCAAAACTGCAGGAAAGCACATTCTAAAACTGCAGGAGTATTAGCTTACAAAGGAACACTGAAAAGCAGAGAATACATCTTTAAAATACATTATTAAACGGTAAAAAGCTTTATACATAGATTTAAGCATTCTTTAGCCTTTAA